TTGACTATGATAAATCCTATCAGGGTCTAATTTCTAAAGTCTACAAGATACTGCAAAACCTCCACAACAAAAAGACAACACAATTAAAAAAATGGGCAAAGGATATGAACAGGCACTTCACCAAAGAAGACATTAAGGTGGCTAACAGACACATGAGGAAATGCTCACGATCATTAACCATTAGAGAAATGCAAATCAAAACTACAGTGAGATAGCATCTCACCCCAACAAGGGTAGCATTAATCCAAAAAACACAAAATAATAAATGTTGGAGAGGTTGTGGAGAGACTGAAGCACATACACTGCTGGTGGGAATACAAAATGGTACAAGAACTTTGGAAATTGATTTGTCACTTCCTTAAAAAGCTAGAAATAGAAGTGCCATATGATCCAGCAATCCCACTTCTTGGAATATATCCTTGAGAAATAAGAGCCATCACATGAATAGATATATTCACACCCATGTTCATTGTAGTACTGTACATTATAGCAAAAACACGGAAACAATCTAGGTGCCCATCAACAGAAGAATGGATAAACAAATTATAGTATATTCACAAAATGGAATACTAGGCAATGATAAAGAATAACAAATCCGTGAAACATCTTACAACATGGAGAAATCTGGAAGGCACTATGCTGAGTGAATTTAGTCAGTTGCAAAAAGAATATAAATTCAACCCTCTTTTTATTACAGTAAATGACACTTGGTGGATCTGACCAAACATGTAATCAGAACAAACTTCTTCACTTTAATTCACGTTTGGTGTAGATGATGTTTTGTTATCACAAGGAAGCGGCTTGCTGTCATTTTGAACACCTGTCGGATATTGTTTTATTTGTCTTGCTTTTTATATTTTATTCTATGCACACCTGAACTCATCATCCATACAGACACATTAAGTGTTGAAGGTATTCAAATAGACGAGGATTCTGCCCTCTAAGACCTTAACCTCAAAGAAAAGTTTACAGTCTTACTTTGATTCTGCTACCTGTGGTAGAAATCGGCAACCTTCACATTGCTGTCACCTTTCCACTCCTTAGAACAGATGAAATTGTTCTTTTCACCACAACTTTCAACAAAATTCTATGTCCCCCTGTCTGTCTTGAAAGACCCTCCTTCATATGGGTCCCCAGAAAAATATGAGATATGAAAAATAAAATAGTGCAACATGAAAGATAAGAAGGACACTAGAGAAAAACAAAATGAAATAAAATCAATTGCAGCTCCCCATTCTGCATGGCCAGTATGCGCACAGGTAGTGGTACCTATTTATTGTACAGTCTGTGATTTGGACAGTAGTACATTTCCCTGTGATCATGTTTATCACCAAATATCTTGCTAGTTCTATCTCCTGAATAAGTAACATTTGTTTGGCTTTATTTGCAAAACTTCTCTAGTATTTCTTGCTCAACACTTTATGAACAATAACTCTCAACCGTACTCCTCTGAATGTCTGGCTTGTTCTTTAAAATTGCGATGAGTTTTATAACTCATCTTGAAACCATGCAGCAGCAAAGAAAGACTCTCATACCCAGTTAGGAAGAGTGATTTGTTCAAAAGAATTGGCTGATAATGTATTAATGTTATTTTGTGCTCCAACATTAAAAAAGTCTAAAGTTAAAAATGTCAACTTAGGAAAAGAGCAAAGTAGTCAAATTTTATTTTTCTGTGACTGTTGTAAGTGTGAAGAAAGAATTGAAGTTTATTGTTTAAAAAAAAGTGCAACTGTTTACTAATCACGTTTGAAATATGTGTCTTATTTTAAACTGTATTCTAAAATAATTTGTCTGTCATAAAATGTCTGTGACTTATTTACATTTTTTTCCTAAAATAAACTTAGCTGTGAACTCCTGAAATAGCTGTGAACAATTCAGTGGGTCATATGTAAATTGGAAAATTATGTCCTCCAAATTTACAAAGCATTTTAGAACTTTACCTTAGAGCTGCTACAAGTGCTTCGAGTGGGTTAACTTTGCATTAAAAACTAACACTCAGCTAATCACCCCAGGTGGATGTTGATTGTATTTTTTACATTCATGTGAGTCTTCAGATATAGTTAGCCCATCTAGAAAAGGGTAGTCCCTCTGACATAATAGCTCATGCAGCATTGCACAATATCTTTATTCATAGACGTTGTCTGTTCTAATTTCTGTACAACTAGCTAAAACCTTCATATAGTTCTCCATTTTGAATTTAAGGAAGTACATTCAATATAAGCAAAATTGGCTCAAACAAAATAGTAATAACAATGTTTATTGTTTTATAATTTAATAATGATTTACATAAGCCAAACCAAACCCGTTGCTGTTGAGTTGATTCTGACCCATTGATTTTTAAGCACTTTACATGTATTACTTTTTTAATCCTCACAACTTTTTTTATTGTGGTAAAAATATATATATAACAAAATATTTGCCATTTAAACATTTTTATATGTGTAATTCAGTGACATTAGCTGCATTAACTATGTTCTTACAACTCTTTTATCCCCATTTTATAGATGAGGAAAGTGAGGCAAAAAGAGATTAAGTAACTTGCCCAAATTCACCAGCTTGTAGGTGGCAAAGACAGGATTCCAGTCTGTATACTGCAGTTCCAGAGCCTATGCTCTTTACACTAGGCTATGCTGATTCTCCTATCTACCTAGGAAAACATGTATATATAAAATATTGTCATCAAATTAGAGGAATTATTGGTTTTGCTTTTTTTTATTTGTTTATTACAATATTTTATTGTGTTTTTGGTAAAAGTTTACACAGCAAATTATGTTCCCATTTAACAATTTCTATATATATTGTTCAGTGATATTGGTTGCATTTTTCTCAATATGTCAACATTCTCATTATTTCTGTTCTGGTTATTCCCTTTCCATTAATCTAGATTCCCTGTTCTCCCCACCACTTTACCTTCTCATCTTTGCTTTAGGGTAAATGTTGACAGTTTGGTCTCATCTAGATGATTTTTTAAAGGAGCATACTTATGGGAGATATTGTTTATTTTGTGAGCCAATCTGTTATTTAGCTGAAAGGTGACCTCTGGGTGTGGTTTCAGTACAAAATTTAAAGGATATCTCAGGGTGATAGTCTCTGAGGTTCCTCTAGTCTCCATGGGTACAGTAAGTCTGGGCTTTTTTATGAATTTGAGTTTTGTGCTACATTTTTTTACCAGTCTATCTGGGACCATCTTTTGTGTGTGTCCCTAGTCAGAACGGTCGGTAGCGGTAGCCAGGTACCATCTAGATCTTCTGGTCTCAGGATACATGAGGCCGTGGTTCATGTTGACTAGTTTCTTCTTAAGTCTTTAGTTTGCTTATTTCTCTTTTGCTCCAGACGAGTAAAGACCAATAGTTATATGGTCACTTGCAAGCTTTTAAGACCCCAGACACTACTCACCAAACTAGGGTGTAGAACATAAAGTTTATGAACTATGTTATGCCATTTTACCAAGATGTCTCACAAGACTATGGTCCTAAGACTTCAAATCTAGTAAACCAATCCCATGAGGTGTTTAGTTATGTCTAAGGAGTATCAGTAACTGTGCCCCCTATGTGCTTTATTATATATATGAATATATAGGCAGCACACACATCCACGTGTATACCTATGCCTAGAGATACGCTTATACATGCACCCATATATACACACTCACACCTTCCTATAAACATATATGCATACATATCTACCTGTGTAACCACACCCATGTTTTTTGGTTGTTATTGCTGTTGTTGCAAAATTGTATATGCTACAGCATTTACCAAAAATGTCCCTTATTCTTGTGTACTTCTTGGTGTCATCATTTACCTTGGTCAAGTTGTGCACACTTCACCCACAGTCGGTATTACCTTTCCCATCACCAAAATTACAAGCGTCTACTATCTAGAGAGTAATTCCTCCTCCCTCACCATCCCATTTCTGGAAACCGCCAATGAATGTTGTTTTATAACGTATACCTATTCTTGTCTTTTTATGAAAGTGAGATCATACAATAGTTGTCCTTTTTGATTGCCTTATTTAACTCCGCATAACGTCCTTCAGATTCATCCACATTATATTTTGAGAACTTGTTATTATTTATAGCTGTGTAGTATTCCATCGTATGTACATACCACATTTTGTTTATCCATTCATCCTTTGATGGGCACTTAGGTTGTTTCCATCTTTTCGCTATTGTGAATAATGCTGCAATGAACATAGGTGTGCATATGTCTGTTTGTGTCACTGCTATTAGATCTCTAGGGTATATAACTAGGAGTGGGATTGCTGGATCATAATTCTAGCTATTTGAAGAAGCACCATACAGTTTTTAACAGTGGTGGTACTGCCTTATAATTTGTGTGTCCAGTACTTCTAGATTTAAATTTTTCAAACATGTGTTTCTGCTTCCTTTTCTTGCTGTCAGCTTTGGTGAAGAAAACATTTTGTTCACTGCTTGCTTAAATTCTCCTCAGTGAGATTTCTTCCACAAAAACAATTTAGTAAATGTTAATGCAGAATTTCTTTTTGAGTCCAATATCCTTTAAGGTTGTACATTTTTTGTTAAATAGTTAACAAGCCTCCAGAAGTGCTTCTGCTCTCTATCATACCCATTGGCCTCTGTATACCACCGGCAAGACATTTCTAAAACACACTGTCTGGAAGAAATCCAATAAACGTAGATCTACCTGTCAATTTGAAAATTATCCTTTAGAAATGTCTATGGAAAGTGCACATATTTTCTTTCATTTTTCTCCTTTGCAAAACTAAGATAAGCACATCTTTCCAGCACTGGTTTAAATCGTGTTTTAAATTTTTATCTCATTCATGGAATTTTTTATTTAAAATTTGACAGAACAAAACTACATTTACCCTTTCAGGCTTATTATCAAAAATCTGCAGAAATTTTAATAGCCAACATAAATTTTACTGAGTTATTTTTGTTAACTAATAAGGGTAAAAGAGAAAATATCTACTAGATTATCAATTGGTTTTCCTGTGGTCCAATATGTTGTAATTTTCAGGGATGAAGAACCAGGAGGCCAGCTTGTTACAGATAAATTCCACATTGACTGGGATTCAGTACTTCTTGACTCTGATAATGTTATTATAGCAAGATTTGATGGCCGAGGAAGTGGATTCCAGGGTCTAAAAATCTTGCAGGAGATTCATCGAAGGATAGGTTCAGTGGAAGTAAAGGACCAAATAACAGCTGTGAAGTAAGTGGGTGTACATTTTCTGTTGCTCTTCTTTCAATGAAGAATCTAGGTATATAGTACATAATATGACTAGTTATTGGAAAATATTCTAAGCTAATCATGTAGTCTGTTGCATTTTTTCAAGTACTTATCACCCTTGTACTATAATGAAATAATTGTCTTGTTCTGGAAGTAGAATTCAAGTTGGATTTGTGAAAATAAGAGAGACCTTAAGTATACCACTATATTATTTGTTTTCAGTAACCTACAATGTGTATTAATACAACGTAAATTTCTTCAGTTAATTACAATTCTTCAGCACAGGTACGATTACCATTCTGGCATGAAAGAGTGATCTGAGAAAGCTAGTTGGCTTTTTAAAACAGTGCATAGTAATCAGCTAGCATCTTGTTAAAATGTAGATACTGATTTAGTAGGCCTGGAATGGGCCCAAGATTCTTATTTATAACAAGCTCCCAGGTAATACTGAAGCTACTGGACCACCACTTTGAGTAGCAATATTTTGGAATATATGGCTCTTCCACTTCAATAGTGATGCATTTAGTAAAATATTTTTTGTCATTTTCTTCCATTGTTTAAGCCAAGAATGAAATTCAATGTGCATTTGACTCAAGAAGATATAACATTTGTTTTTTTATTGCAGATTTTTACTGAAACAGACATACATTGACTCCAAAAGATTAAGCATTTTTGGAAAGGTAAATAGTAGAATGTTCAAAAAACTTTTAATATGTGTGTGTGTGTGCACGCGTAGTTAATTATTTTCTTCATTTTACTACAGCTTTCTCTGTATTATCCTTTAAAAATATAAGTTTTGATTAATATTGATTAATTCAGTCATTAATTAATTCAGCAACTATTCACGGAGCATCTAGTTCGTGCCAGATGTTAGAAATAGAGCAAAAAACAAGACAGAAAAGTACCTTGCTTTCATGAAACTTACCTTCTACAGAGAAGAGACAGATAGTAAGCAAGTAAATAAAAAAGATGCTTTCACATAGTAATAACTTCTATAGGAAAACAAACAAACAAAAATTTGATAGATATAAGATAACTGATGGGGGCCCAACGGTATTAGATTGGGTGGTCAAGTAAGGCATCTCTTATGAGGTACCATTTAAGCTTATACCCAAATAACAAAAGGAGACCACTCTTGAAACGGAGTGTTCTACACGGAAGGAACAGTAAGTACCACAGCTTTAAAGAAGATCAACATTTGTTTGGAGAAAAAAGAATGCCAATGTGCATTATTATATCTTCTTTGCTCTCTGTAAGATATATATTTCTCATTGCAGTAACTGTATCCTTGTCTATATCCTTGTCACAATATGAAAATAAAACTCATACAGATAATTATTGAAAACTTAATTCATACACAAAACTGGGCTAGACATTGTAACGATACTAAGATGAAAGACGAAGACCTTGCTTCATTCTAGTTTATAAACAAAGCAAATTCTTGGTTTTCATGGATTTTTATTTATTTATTTATTTATTTTTTATTGTGCTTTAAGTGGAAGTTTACATATAATTCAAGTCAGGTTTTCATACAAAAATTTACACACACATTGCTATGTGACCTAGCTGCTGTCCCTATAATGTAACAGCACACTCCTCCTTTCCACCCCTGATTTCCCGTATCCATTCAGCCAGCTCCTGTCCCTTTTTGCCTTCTCATTTTGTCTCCAGACAGGAGCTGCCTACTTAGTCTCATGTAGCTACCTGAGCTAAGAAGCACTGTCTTCATGAGTTTCATTTTATGTTTTATAGTCCCGTCTAATCTTTGTCTGAAGAGTTGGCTTTGGAAATGGTTTCTGTTCTGGGCTAACGGTTAGTCTGGGGGCCATGTCTTCCGGAGACCCTCCAGTCTAAGTCAGACAATTAAGTCTGGTCTTTTTACTAGAGTTTGAGTTCTGCCCCCTAATTTTCTCCTGCTCCATCAGGGACTGTCTGTTGTGTTTCCTGCCAGGATTGTCACTGGTGGTAGCTGGACACCATCTAGTTCTTCTGGTCTCCTGCTGCTGAAGTCTCGGGTTTATATGGCCCTTCCTGTCTCTTGGGCTAATTTTTACTTTTGTCTTTGGTGTTCTTCATTCTTCTTTGCTCCAGGTGGGTTGGGACCAGTTGATGTATCTTAGGTGGCCACTCGCTACCTTTTAAGACCCCAGATGCCACTCACCACAGGGGGATGCAGAACACTTTCTTAATAACATTTGTTATGCAAATTGACCTAGATATCCCTTGAAACCGTGGTCCCCAGACCCCCACCACTGCTACTCTGTCCCTAGAAGTAATTGGTTGTATTCAGGAAACTTCTTAGCTTTTCCTTTAGTACAGTTTCCTGACTTCCCTGTAGTGTGTTGTCCTTCCCTTCACGTAAGATAGTTCTTTTTTTTTTTAAATTAATTAATTTATTTTTATTGTACTTCAGGTGAAGGTTTACAGAACAAATACTTTCTCATTAAACAGTAGTACACATTGTTTTATGACATTGGTTAACAACCCCATGACATATCAACACGCTCCCTTCTTCACTTTTTTTTTTAATTGTACTTCAGGTGAAGTCTTACAGAACAAATAGTTTCTCATGAAACAGTAGTACACATGTTGTTTTATGACATTGGTTAACAACCCCACAACATATCAACTCTCTAAC